CCTCACCAGAAACACGGCATGTCGCAATCTGTGACGAATGCAGGCGAGAGCCAATGAGCGTTCGATTATCCTGCCGTAAAACCTGTCGTTTGAAGCGGCAACATTTGAATTTGTAAAGAGCGCGTCAGTCACCGTGGACTTTGCTGCTTACGGTCACTGGACTCGCTGCTCGGGACGGAGATGAAGATCGCCGAATAAAGGCTTGGATTTGGGTCTGTTCCTCACAGTCGTATGGATTCAGAAGATTTGGATTACAGCGCACTAATAAAATTGTTTCATTTCGTAATTATGTTGCGTTTTTGGTGTATTTTATAGTTCTATTGTCACTCACAGCATGTCGGAGAAAACGCCTTTTGCATGAAAACGCCTTTTGCATTTTTTTGCGCCTATTGCTTTTCATGGTAATCAAAGTAAACATTACATGACAAGCAAAGGTTAAACGATTGCAGAAATGTTATTTATTTTAAGGTTTAAAGTGAAGTCGTGTTTAACATTATATAGGCATATTCTTGGAAACGAGCTGACAGCAGAAATCACAACAAAACGAAATGTTATCATTTCATAAGTAAATGAGTAAAGTTAAACAATTTAATAATGCAATTGTAAACAAGGTAATTCATATGACAACTAAAAACTAATATAATTAATGCCGCTATTTCAATATTCATAAGGATTCATTTTTAGGTGTCAATACGTCAGTTTTGTATGTTTAAATTCTGAAAATACGTCAGTATTTGTACGTTTTAGTGCCTGTAAAAACGTAATATAGAACCACATTTTACGTAAAATACATACGAATTATCATGAGATCACGTTGGAATGTACGGAAATATCTGCCTGTGCCTAAGTACAATGTGCAATCAGTGCGTCAAGAGCACTCATACACGCATTATTATAACGGACTCACGCTTGCTTACTATACGACTCCTGTACGTCACCGCAATCGTCTTTACCTTGATTGCAGTCTTCATCCATCAAAACTTTACTAGCGAGACTGGTTATCC